GACCTTTCTGGTTCTCAATGGCAGGAGCAAAAGTGGCCCTTTGTATAGCATGTATTCCCAGGGGTTTTTCCATGTTTGAATGATTCACCCATGTCCATAGGTGGGCATCTGCAACCAGTGCATGGTGGGCCAATTGTGTCATTGTTTCTCTGTGTCATGATAGTTCTCAATTGAGCAGCGGCGGCTGGCCTGAAGGCCAGTGTGCAACAGCGCTCGCGGCCGCATGGCTCCCCGTGCGCCGGGGGCCCTCCCTCCCGGGGCCTATGAGGCAGGAAGTGAGCCAGCCAGAAGACAGGCGCTCCCCGCCCATGGCTCCACCTGCACCGGGGGCCCTCCCTCTGGGGGGCCTACGAGGCAGGGAGCGAGCTGCCAGAAGACCAACACTCCCCTCCCGTGGCTCCCCGTGCGCCAAGGGCCCTCCCTCCGGGGGCCTACGAGGCAGGGAGCGAGTTACCGGTCGGAAGACTGGTGCTCCCCGCCTGTAAATGTGTATTTTTAAAGAGTGGTTGTAAGAGTGTACAAATAATATTTATCTGGACTTTTCACTTATACATATAGTTTCATGTCTCCACATTCTATTAAAAAATCATAGCTGGGGATGTAGCTTACCAGCACCGCACCTGCCTGGCAAACGCAAGGCCCTGAGTTCAGTTCCTGGTACCAAAAAAATAAAAATCATAATCTATGGGGTGGTTGTGAACCATGTCAAGCTATGAATCATTATCAAGGTGGCATTTATTGTTTACCTTTTAATTTTTCTGTGTATATAGCTTTTTCTTGTGATTTGGGACTTGAGATAAAATTACCTCAAGTGGTATCAATAGACCAAAGTTTTGGAATTTGTAGCTCTTATGAGTACAAATGTGAGAAACAATTTTAGTGCTCTCACAAGAATGCTGGATGTGAGTGGATTTGTCTTTGTAGTATACAAAAACAAAGTTACTTCATTTAATAAAAGTCATTCTTTCAGTGATGAGTTTAAACAGCTTGCCTACTTTAGTGTCTTCAGGCAACAGTCATCATGACCATAGCCATAACCATGTGATGGTTGTAACCATCTGTCTCTAAGGTTATTCTTTTCTTTGTGCAAGCTCTTTACATATGGAGGATATGTGCCATATATTTGCTTTGAATTCATTTTCCTCTTTTTCTTTTCAGTCTAGGTTAAAAATTGCATTTCTTTTAAAAGGCATTACATGAACTAATGGTTCTTTTTCTCTACTTTCAAAAATTTTGTTATGGTTTTAATTTTCTCAAGAAATCACTGTTACTCTTTTTTTTTTTTTTCTTTTCTCACTATGCAGTTCAGGCTGGCCTTGACCTCACTTTGTAGCCCAGGCTGGTCTCGAACTCACAACGGTCCTCCTGTCTCAACCTCCCAAGTGCTGGGATTACAGGTGTGCACCACCGTGCCTGGCACTGTTACTCTTTTGTTTTGCTTGTTTTGTCATGCTGGGGATTGAACCCAGGGCCTCATACATGTTAGGCAGGTACTCTACCACCAAGCTACATTCCTAGACCTTTTCTCTACTTCTGAAATTTTGTCTATTTTCTATCCTGATATGATTTTTTTTTTAAAGTCATTTTCAGTGCTGAAAATTGTGGCTCAGTGCTAGAGCACTCCTAGGTTTGATTCCTGGTACCACAAAAAAAGTTTCACATTACTGAATATTTTACCTTAGTGACTGTCAGCAATAGAATGAAACATCTGTCAGGGTTATAATTACTTTCTTATGTAATTAGTTCCTGGAAATATCCACAGACCTCATACCTGGGACATAAAATACCTAGCATCTCTAGTTCTTCTTAAGAGAACTGATCCCTTCCTTTTTGTTTATTGCAGTAATTATATTTTTAGGTATCTTGCGTCAGTTCTTACTTGTTTTCTTATTTCTGTACTCTTATAGTTGGCCCTGTTTCCTCCTAATCCACTGCCAACTTTTAAATGTGAAAAGCACAAATTAGTCATTCTCCAACACCACCTCCACCCTATATGATACCCACATAGGGTAGAAGAAATTGCAACTAGCCTCATCACAACTGTTGTGCTCCTTCTTTGCAAAGAGTTTTAATGACAAATGCCTCAAGAAGCCGAAATAGTCATTTTTTGGTTTTTGTTTTTTTTTTTTTTTTGGCGGTACTGGGGATTGAACTCAGGACCTTGCGCTTGCCAGGCAGGTGCTTATGCCACTGAGCTATATCCCGAGCTCTGAGCTTTGTCTATTATAAAGGACGCTTCTAATCTAGAGTTAAGGAAGAAGCACCTGCAACAAAACTGCCTCCCTAAAGTCATATGGCCAGAGTCCTGAAAAGCAACATTTTCAACATAGTACTTTGTCTTTTAGAACTTGGGCAACATCTGGCAGAAGTGATCAGTATATAATATACATGCAAGTGAATTATTAGTCCAAGTGCTACGTGTTCGTTCTGTTATTATCCAGAAAGGACAAGTGAATAACCTCTTTTCCAGTCAGTATTCCCCAGTACCAGGGCAACAACACAGGACAAGAAAGATGATCTGGGCAGTACAGGTGACCTGCAAGTTGCTCAACTGGGTTAAAGAAAACAGCAGATGATTGATGTGTTACAAAATGACATAGTCATCCTGCACAGACATTTGATTTTTATATGAGGACACCAGCAACTGAGCCCTAGGTAGTTTCTTACCACATCAGAATTTCATTGTAAAGGGGAAGCAAGATGCGAAAAAGCGTCTAATAAAACTTTACATCTTCAAGCCCCTTGTTGACCAGCATCTTCTTCAGAAAAGTTCATATTGAACTTCAGAAAAGTTATGTGAGAAAAGCAGTTGTAGTTTTACATATTAAGTCTTCATGTGATCCATTCTTATTTAAAGCTGTTTCTTGAATCTGCAGATAATAGCCTTGAACAAAACAATAGCAGATGTCTATACAGATTACTTTGTAATTGACCTCAAACTTTAACTTTAGGAAATTCAAAATCAATACAAAGTAACAATCACCAGTGGTACAGTTAGCAACTCTTGGTCCACCTTTTTTCATCTGTGCTTTTGGCCACACCTTACTCCCACATTATTTTGAAGCAAATCCAGCGATAATACTGTATAATTCTCAATATTCAAATGCTTCTGTCTAACACATGCCTCTTAGAAATGAAACATAACCATAATATGATTTTTATTATCACATTTAAAGATTTTGCAGTTGTTCCTCCATGCCACCAAAATTTGCAAGTGTTTCTTCAACATTAATTTTCAAACACCTAAATGGCTACTATTATTATTACTACTAACAGAAATTACACAGTGAAGGAGTCAGTAATAAAAGGATCTTTACTTTCTTGCTCCTGTTTTGGCCTCAGTGTCTAGAGATGCTGGAGTGCTTAGGAGTACCCTGGGTGCAGGCGGCGGGGGAGGCTGAGGCCATGTGTGCTCACCTGGATGCTGGTGGTCGTGTTGATGGCTGCCTCACTAATGACGGAGATGCTTTCCTCTACGGGGCCCAGACTGTCTATAGGAATTTCACCATGAATCCAAAGGTACTGTTCTTTCTTTGGTATTTGTTTACAAGTTACCTTTTTAAAGGGGCTGATTAAATGAAAATATATATGAAAAAATATTTCCCATAATCCCTGGCAAATAGCAATTGTTAAATAAATAAAAGTGTTTCCCTGTCAGTATTTTCCCCCTTGCTTCAAGATACACTCATCCCATCATTCTTGCCACCTTCTGAAGCAGTTCTGGAAGTCTTCTTTTGTGAGTGTCCTCATTTGGACTGTTTTGGCTGCCTTGGTGTCCTGCATCAATTCAAAATGCTTACCTTTCGCGGTCCATTTGGAGAAAAAAACAGCAGTCTCACATACTAGATTCAGTCAGTACGGTAGAAGGACACACCATCATGTTTTCATGAGCCTGCCTTTTCATTGGGTGGCACTCAGCAATAGTATTCACCACAGTTTTTATCCTAGATCCTAAAGACACTCAAAGAAGAGTACTTCCAATACTGCTTCAGGAGGTGGCAAGAACAATTGGCATGTTAAAAGAAAGAGGCAATACTTGCTGGGGTGGCGGGGAATAACACTGTGTCTTTTACTGTCATAATTTTTTATTTAAACACATACCATATTTTTTGCTCAGCCCTTATATTTCAAAAATCTAAAGAGGATTTTGAAAGTTTTCTCCATAAATACATGTTTGAGGAGGTAGATATGATTTACTTGGTTTAAGCATTACAGGTATATGTGTATCAAAATGTTATATGTATTTTGTAAATATGGTTTTTTGTATTTTGTATATCACCTAAAATAAAGTTTTAAAATTTTAAATCATTGCTATATAGTTAAAACTCTTCCAAATGTGAATTACTATATCACAAAGTTGTATGTGAACTTTAACCAAGAAACACCTCTAGGTGTGCAAGAAGAGATATACAGACAGGATATTCGGTGTAACATTGTTAATAATTACAAAAATTTAGCCAACAACCAAATATTCACTGATACGAAAGTGGTTCTTTACACGGTTTAGAGGCAGGGAGTTGGGTAGGGATCCTACACATAGACCTTTGTCAGATTAAGACCAGATAAGCTAACCTCCTACTCCTTTTATAACAATCCTTTTATCCCTGCCAAGATGCTAACAGTGCCTCCATTGAAAAGCACTGGCTCAGAGCCCATGTGATCCATTAGTACCCAGTCATTGAAAAGGTGTGTATTATTAACGTAGATGTCTAGGCATACTCTTGGGGGCAAATGTTGCAAATTATTTAAGTGTCAGATTCTATTAAGATTTCAGAGATCAGTATAATTTTCCTATTTAAATTTTTAAAATAAACATTTAAAGATAACTCACAAATTATTTTTATAGTATTACTTAATATGTAAGCACTTACCTTTGAAGATTAAACTAAAGCTCTACTTTCTTCAGGACCCACATGTTGACTGTTATACAATGTCATCTATCAAGAATAAACTAGGCTTGGACAGAGATACTCTGGTTGGACTAGCCATACTTCTTGGATGTGATTACCTTCCAAAGGCAAGCTGAAGTCATACTTACTATTTAGAGTGTGTGCCTTTTTGGTATCTTGTGTCCTGTATAAATATGAGTGTGATATGGTTATATGATTCAGGATCTAATTTAAAATATAAATGGCATACTAAGCCATAGTATAACTAAAATAATAATTCACAAGGAGTTTAAAAGCTGACTTGTGACACTGAATGTAAATGTGGATAGCATAGTATATAGTGCCACAGTTTGAACCTCAGGTAAACCATTAACCCATATGAAGAGATTCACATTCAAATTTGACTACCTTTTTAAAGGAATGTAAGCAGACATTGTGGTGCATGCCTGTACTCCCAGCATTCTGAAGGCTGAGGCAGGAGGATCACTGCAAGTTCAAAGCCAGTCTGGGCTGCATAGTTCAAGGTCAACCTGAGCTATGTACCCTGTCTCAAAAAACTAAAAGAATTTTAAAAATAAGAGTATAGGAATAGATCTTTTCTTGTAGAATGTCAATGCTAGTTGCTGTCATTGTTTTGTCTGGTTTTTTAGTGTTCAGTATCATTGCATTTTACCAGTTGTACACATGTTCATTGTTGTTATTGTTGCTCAGCAACGTGATTATGGAAATAACCCATTCATACTTTCATGCCTCTTAGCATCACACAGGGCTTTTGTTTATGGAAACATTTTATTTTTATGTTACAGTGCATAATATAGTACTTTAACAAACAACGTTAATAGGAGATGTAATAAATTAAAAATGAGGATAATCTCATACTATATTTAAAATAAATACAACTGGACTTGTATGTCTTACTATATATTCCCCTCACTATGTCCCTATTGATCATCTTTGTATCCTTACAAATCTCTCATTTTACCTCTATTCCCAAGACAAGTACAAAAAAGTGCAGTATAATTTTTTTCACTTGCGTTGTGACTTGTATCTAGGTGTCCCCTTAGGCTTGTGCAGTCATAGGTGTGGCTTCTCAGAGGTGGCTGGATCTAGGATCTGTGATACTGGATTAAGGATGCCCCACCCTGGGTGTGTATGGCTCAGACAATAGGCTTACAGCCTGGGTAGACTATAGAGAGACAGAAAGAAGGTGCTTCTGCTGCTTCTTCACTGCTGCCTGCTGTTCACTGCTTGCTGCTTTGCTCCCTTCTGCTTGCCATGGACTGTTTGTCCTCTGTGATGCAACCCTACCCTGCCACCCTGCCTTGGAGCCAGCCAATATGGACTGAAACCTCTACAACCTGTGTATCTTTCTCCCTTTAACTTTGGTGTTGGGTACTTTGTCTCCACAATAAGAAAAGTAACCAAGACACTTAAGCTTAGAAGAAGGGAATAAAATAGCAGAATAGTAAAATAGCCCTGTTTTCTAATACATGTCTAGTGGCCAGATATAGAAATCAAGAATTTTTTTTAACAGTTAAGAAAAAGTAGGAGCAAAGCAAACTTTAAATATCAAAACCATTATTGTAATTTTCTTTCTGAAATAAAAGACCCTTATTTCCCATGTGTAGTTATATCATTTCAAATCTAGAAAAACCCCTTGTTGAATCTAACACCTTTGTGAACTTGAACTCACAAAAAACCACTTTAGCTGCAGTGATATTTATATTATACATTAAACCTTAGCTATTTTGATGTTTTTGTGTTGGTACCAAGGTGGCTATGTCTTTATGTTTTTAAAGATTTTTGAGACTATGTAGTAACATGATTTGCCTTTAGAAGATTCGAGATGTAGCTAAAAGCTAATATGAGGTGGATGATATTCAAAATATCTAACATCTGAGAATAATGGTGCATGCCTATAATCCCAACATTCTGGGAGGCTGAGGCGGGAGGGTCACAAGTTAAACTCAGCCTGGATGACTTAGGGAGACCTTGTCCTAAAGAAGTTGGGGGTGGGGGTGTGTAACTTACTACTAAGATCCTAGGTTCAAACCCCAGGACCATAAAAAAATTTTATATATAAATTTTCAGAGATATTTATATTATATATAACATGTTATTTTTATATAAATTTTTTATACAGTATATATTTCTAGTATGTGAAAGGTACAGGCTGTAGGGTATAGAGATGGAACGGACTTGGGAGTGGACTCTTCTATGCGGTGGAATAGCTTTTTAGTCGTTGGAGTCTGGATATAAGTGGTTGGAAGCATGCAGGGTTCTTGTGCTGTTCATTGGCTAGTCTGGAAGTATTTTAACACTGGTATAGCTATCTTGGTGCATGGTGGCTAAGCAGCAGTCTTACTTATAAGGACATAATCATAAACCAACAAGAGCCAGGAGACTCAGGCCAGAAGTTGTGATGTGAATATATGTTTATGTATATAATTTCCATGTATAAATTTTAATTTTTGAAATCAACATTCTAATAAGTTTTTAGCATTAAGAGTTAACTTGGAACTCTTTTCTTTCTTTGTTTTTTGAATGTCCTGGTCTTTAAGTATTAAATATCCATAAAATGAAATACACATGACTTTAATTATAAATATAACAAAGTTAGGACAAATTGAAACATCATCAAAATAACATAGTAAGTGAAAGCCATCTAAAATTATGTCCCTTTTTCCCCTAAAATAGTGTCAGTGGTTAGAGATATAACTCTGAATTTTTTTGTTTATATGAACTAACAATCTAATTGCTGTTTAATTTACAAACCTATATCAAACCATACATGACAATTTCATTTTGTACATTAAGGTATATCCTGCAGGGTATTTCTTACCACTATGCACTGTTATGGCCTGTGGTCATAGGTGGGGCTTTTCAGAGCAGCTGGATCTAGGGTATGTGATGACTAAACTAGTCCACTGATGGGTTTGGTTCAGTTCTGGGTGTAGATAATGAGAAGGGGTTTGGTTCAGTTCTGGGTGTAGATAATGAGAAGGCCCACCTGTGAGTGTGGGTGTGAGTGCTACCTGCCCTAAGGGCATATATCCTGAGTAGAATATAAGTGACAGAAAGAGGGTTGCTACCATCTCTTGCTCTTGCTGCTTTTGCTGCCTCCTGCTTCCTGTCTTCTACACCATGTGCTGTGTTTTTCTCTTCTGTGATGCCCTCGGGCACTCCACCCTGGCTTGGAGCCAGCCAACTATCAACTGAGACCTCTACAAACTGTGAGCTATCATAAACCTTTCCTCTTTTAGGTGCCAGATACTTTGTCTCAGCAATGAGAAAAGTAACTAAGACACACACAGGGTTTTATATTCTTTGTTTCTTTTTTTTCTTTTTGTCTTTTTGAGACCGGGTCTCACTCTTCAGTTCAGGCTGGCCTTCAACTCACTTTGTGGCCCAAGCTGGCCTCAACTCACAGCAATCCTTCTGCCTCTGCCTGCTGAGTGCTGGGATGACAGGCTTGCTCTGCCACATCCAGCTCATATTCTTTCGTTTCAGCTGCAGGGTCTTAGGCTGAGTTGATCTGCTGCACTTTATTTAGTCACTCCCTAGTGATTAACATTTGCATTTTTTTCCCATTTTCTGAAAGGGAGTTCCTGGAGTTGGAAAAGAGCAAGCACTAAAACTTATACAGATTTTGAAAGGGGAAAGTTTGCTTCAGAGGTAACTACAAATTGCTTTTTCTTCCACATTGGACTTTTCTTTTTCTTGAACTTAATAATGAGTATTAAAAAAAGATTATACTTTCCAAAAGAGGATTTTCATATTTTTAAGTGCTCTAAGTTTTCATTTCAAATATTTCATTTCATTTTCTGAAGTTTTCCAATGTAAGGGTGAGAATATATGTTCTAGGCCACATTGTATAGTTAGAAATATATTTTTTTTTTGTTACTGGTGGTGGTTTTGTTTGTTTATTTGTTTTAAGATAGGGTCTCACTATGTAGCCCAGGCTGACCTCCACCTTGTGGGTGATCCTCTTGCCTCAGCCTCCTGAGTGCTGGGATAACAGACATACGCCACCACGCTGAGCTAGAAATATATTAACTCACTGAACACAGACTCACAGTGGCAAATGCTTTTTATTAATCACTATGTATTTTGCCACAGGCTTTTTTGTTTTGTAGCTGTTCCCACTGTGTTGCCCAGGCTGAGCTCAGCCTCACCGTACCCCCCTTTGCCTCCTGAGTAAGGGGCACAACGGCAGGGTGCATGACCTCGTCCATGACACAGGTGTTACAGGCTATGTTAGATAAACGTGACATTTAAGTCATTTTAGATATATATTTAACACTTCTCTTTTTTGGTTTTCTGAGACAGGGTCTGGCTATATAGTTGAGGCCTGCCTTGAACTCACTATGTAGCTCATGCTGGCCTCAAACTCAGAGTGATTCTCCTGCCTCAACCTCCTGAGTGCTAGGATTACAAGCATATGCTACCATATCCAGCTATATTTAAAGCTTTGGTAGTGTGTTTACTTTGTATAGATGAAGTGTCGGTGGTGTGTTCCACATGAGAAGCAATTGAGGTACTTTCACTTGACTACACATTGTTGTGCAGCTGTGAGTTTGCCCCAGATTCTGCGTCTTGAGAGAGTCAGTGAGTACATAGTAAGTCCCCAGCTCCCTGTTGGGGAGAATGTTTATAAGTTGGATTTGTTCGCAAATGCAACCAAACGAGTCTTACACACCTTTGACACAAATGACAATGTAAAGCATAAAAAAGCCAAACACACACAAAAATACAGTAAGTCCCTGACTGTCTGTACTACTGTACACTATTCACACTGCTGTAAACACACAGCAGCGTGACTGTAACAATATCTGGCAGACACGTGAGCTACTTCCATGATTTGTTCACATCTAGGAATGTTTGTAATGTGAGGTTCATTTTTATCTATGGAAGTTCCCAACTTGAACATTGATAAGGCAAGCTCTTACTGTATACATTATGATGAAGTTTTCAAACTGTCCTGTTTACTCTCTTAAAAGCATGTAAATTGTATTTATTTGATGAAAGTGGTGATTTATGAAAATTAATAATAATAGGGTGTAGAATAAGACAGGAACCAGGACACTAGGAGAATAATAGTTGTAGCCTGTGATAGGTTTGAGATGCTGAGGGCCTGAAAAGAGACACCGTGGTGGAAGATGTAATGGCCAAGGCAGAGTTTTTAAATCACTGCACTCCCTATAACAGCTTTTCTTCTACTGTAAAGTTTTTAATAGCTCTAAGACATCAGTAGACCCACTGGTGACATCAGTGATAGGAAGGAAGAGGTGTACTTCAGGATTGGTGTGAGTGAAAGAGTCACTGGGAATTATAAAGAATAAAAAAAGAAAGGAGAAGCAAGCAAATATGGCAGTTGGCTAACTTCAAGCCATTCATATAGAAAGAGTTTTAGCAAAATGTACTTTTGGCAACATTTGGTCTTTTTGAGACAGGGTCTCACTCTGCAGTTCAGGCTGTCCTTGAACTCACTTTGTAGCTCAGGCTGGCCTCGAACTTGCTATGGTCCTGCCTCGGCCTCCCAAGTACTGGAATTATAGGTGTGTGCCAACATGCCCAACAAAGCAGTTTTTGTTCTAACAGTGATAAAATTGTATTTTTTTTTTCTAATAATCCCTTCTTCTTTATTTGTTTGTTTGGTATTGGAAATTCAACTCAGGGCATTGTGCTTGGCAGGCAGGCACTGTGCCACTGAGCTATATCTCCGGCCCAAATTGTCCATTTCTAATTTTATACTTCAGGCTGATTTTTTCCTAGTTTTTTTAATATTTGAAGCTCTATTATTGAAATTAATGCCAGTTTTTAGCAAGATCTTGCTTGGTCTTTATAGTGAATAAGACAAATTCCAATAGCTGAACCATAACTCTTAAGTACCAAACATTACCCAATGAATTGAAGAAATAATTTAGCTTTTAATTATATCTTTAATTTCTATAAGTAAATGAACAAAATTCATAATTCTTAATGTTTTATGATTAGTACATAACTGTCCTCGGTAGTTTTAAGTTAACCTGGAAGTTTAGCCAGAAATTAAATTAACTTTTATTTGAATCTTAGTAATATATGCATTTCTAAAATCTTTTATTAAACAAGTGTTTTTTTACTATTTGTATGAGAAATTAAATGATCCAGACTTTTGAAACAGATTTTACCCAAAAGCTTAATGTTGTGTTTGGGTTTATACATTATCTTTTTTATTTTGTCTTGTTTGGGTTTTTTGTGTTGTTTTTTTTTGAGACAGGGTCCCACTATGCAGTTCAGGCTGGCCTTGAACTTGTGGGCAATTCTACTGCCTCAGCCTCCCAAATGCTGAGATTACAGATGTGCACCACCACATGCAGGTGTATTATCTTTTAATATAGAAGAATAGTCACGTACAGGATTCTGTTTGTTTTATACTCTGGCACACGGAGAAGAGAAAAAAAGACATACAGAATATTCTCGTACATGTTGCTGCCTTGCAAGCTTCTTTTAAGGAAACGCTGAGTGTATATATGACTAGGTGTACATTTACAGTGTACAGATACGTAGAAATAAGTATAGATGCCCTCTCCCTGCTTTCACAACTCTGCTGTCCCAGAGACCACATTTAAAGTTTGTAACAGGGTTTTCCAGGGGTAGGTCATTAAATTTATCATCAAAACGGAAATGGTTGGGCAGATGAAAGGAAATAGATTAAACTGACATTTAAGAAGAGGCATTTTGTGACCTTATTTCTTTTTCTTCTCTTTTTAAACCATTTTCTATTAAAGGTTTAATCAGTGGAATGAAAAATCATGTCACTCCATTCCACAGCCACAAGTAGCTAAAAAACTGGCCCATTGCTCTGTGTGTTCCCATCCAGGTAAGCAGACACAGAGAGTATCTCTTGAGTGTTAGAGTCTAATGTCCACATTTCCATTCCTGTGCTAATATTTTCTCATAACTTTATTAGTAGCACTTTGAAGGCTTTTAAATTGCCTTCACCACTAGTAGGGAATGCCATAAAGTCAAAAGTTACATATATATAGTAAGTACTCAGTAAATGTTGAATGAAATAATATAAATGACAAACATAAGTGCAGTTTCAAACTATAATACCAAATTACTCAGAATTTTAAGTTACCGTATTTTCAATGTATAAATCCATTTTAAGGGAAAATGTAAGTGGGGTGGGAGAAACTGAAACCATTTGTTTATGTATCAATGATTTATTTTTATATACTAACGTGATTCTTCATTGTCTTACATTTCTATTGTGTATCAAGATGGTTACTTACAAGTAATTTCTATTGGATATTCACTCTAGATGAAAATAGGTTGGATCATCCTTAGTTTGGGTTAAAAAAAGAGAAACCACTGAACATGAGCAGGGCCACCAAGGTCTTTCAGTCCCAGAGCAGTGAAGAAATCATATTAGTTTATTTCTTAAAAAAAATTCAACTTTACAAGTATTACAAGTATTACAAGTATTTACAAGTATTACAGCTTTACAAGTTTTAACAAGTGTTTTTCATGAACATTATTAAATTATAGGTGAAATCAAGGAAGGAAATGAATGTTTTTATAAACAAGGTACCATTCCATTAGTGTTTTGATAACTTATAAGTGACAGTTTTAGGTTTGTATTCTCCATATTTTAAAAACAGTGATGAAAGCAGTCACACTTATGTAGAGGAAACTAGAGCTCTACACGGGTGCTGTAGTCATAATTAGTTGATATTCCAAGCATAACTGGAAGCTAGGCACTGGTGAAGGTAATTAACTGATATGTTGTTTTAATATGTTCATTAAAGAAAGCAGTTGATGAACTACTCAGTTAAGTAAGTCATCTTTTTTGCTAATAATTACATTCTACTTTTCTAGCATGTAGCTATGAAGTAAAGCAGAACATTTTCTATTATTATGATAAATATATAATTCCAGTTCAAAAATTAATACTTTCAAGTAGGATAGTAATTCTTTTAATGTCCTGTGATACTAACAGCTCAGAGTCTATTTTATCCTAAGAATTACTGTGGTATTCATTATTTGTACAACCCAAATGTGTTGAAACCTTTACAATATGCACTGTGCTAGGCAGTATTAACTTCTTTTTTTTTTTTTTTTGGTACCAGGAATTGAACTCAGGGCCTTGTGCTTGCCAGGCAGGTGCTTGTGCCACTGAGCTATATCCCCGGTCCCAGTATTGACTTTTGAAAATTTAGACAATAGCAAAAAAAAATGTATGCAAAAGAAGTATTAAAAAGGTAGTGAAAATTATATTTTTTTTATGTCTGCATGAAGGTTCACCAAAGGATCATGAACGTAATGGATGCCAGTTATGCAAAAGTGATAGATACTGTGAACCACATGATTACAAGTACTGCTGTCCTTGTGAATGGCATCAGACAGAACATGATAGGCAACTAAGTGGAGTAGAGAACAATATTAAGATGTAAGTTGTTGTTAGAAAACTTTTCTTTTTTTGGCATGACCTGTATGTATATCTGTGGTTAAATTATTTCCACATAATCTTTCCTGACATGTGACATGTCTAGATTAATCATCCTTCCTATATACCTTTTTTTGTGTGTGGGTTCCAGAATTAGGGATTGAACCCAAGACCTTCCTATTAAACTATATCCCCAGCCCTTTAATTTTTAGACAGGGTTTCACTAAGTTCCTCAGATGGAACTCAAACTTGAAATCGTCCTGCCTCACCTTCCCAAAGTGTTCAAATATTTTTTTTCTTGATTTTTGTTAAAAAAAAGCCTCACATATCTCAAAGGAGGATAATTTAATACTACCCAAAGAGATGCTTGATGACTGTTTAATATATAGTACATGATACTTTTTATAAATGAGAGACTGGGTGGGATTATTTCAGTCTAACATTGTTTGATTGTAATAATAACAGTATGTACATTATTTTCAGAAAGGCTTGCAGTTGTGAGGGATTCCCGTTCCATGAGGTAATGAACACTAATTCAGTTGTGTGTGAATTTCATAAAAGTTTAAAGTCTCAATTCATATTACTTTTTCCTCTTTTGGCTAGGTTATTCAAGAATTCCTTTTGAACAAGAACAAGTTAGTGGGAGTAATCAGGTACCAACGACCTGATTTATTATTGTTTCAGGTATTTGAAAATAAATTCTTCTTGTTTAATATGAAGGTAGATAATGGAAAGATAGTATGGAATATTCACTTTGATTATTCACTTTGATGGATTTGTCAGGTTCAAAAATTAAAAGACAGTTTTTGATTGTCCATACAGTTGTCAGTGTTTCTTTTCTTTCTTTTTTTTCCCCCAGTACTCATGATTGAACTCAGGGCCTTGTGCATGCTAGACAAGTGCTGTACCACTGAACTACATCACTACATCATCCTGCAGCCTCGCATCCCTTTTTTTTTTCCTTAATTTGAGATCTTGCTAATTTGGAGATCTTGTCCAGGCTGGCTTTCAACTTACCATTCTCCCTTAGCCTCCTAAGAACCTGGAATTACAAGTGTGGGCCACCAGGCATGGCTTTCAGCATTTTCTTTTAACTTTTACTCCTTGACCTGATAGCCAGACTTTAAACCCCAGTTACACTATTTTTAGGATATGTCTTAGTAACCATATATAGGCATACTGTATCCATATGTTTGAGAATGAGAGGTTCATGACTATAGAATGTCAGGATCGGTTATTGTTATGGTTTGTGTCTGGATGTCCCTGCAAAACTTCATGCAGTCATGGAGTAGGCTTCTAGAGTTTATGATTGATCCATGGTCCCATGCTGGGATTATGGGTGTGAGTGCTACACCCACCCTGGGGTGGGTAGTTTGCATGCAATATAAGGAATGGAAAGAGGCTTGCTCTCTGCTCCTGCTCCTCCCTCTTTGCTCTTGTTGCTTTTGCTGTTTTCGGCCATCATGAACTGTTGCCCTCTGCCGTGTGCCAGCCTGCCTCGGAGCCAGCCAAGTATGGACTGAAACCACCACAAACTGTGAGCTAAATAAACCTTTCCTTCCTTAATTCTGAGTATCAGGTATTTTGTCTCAGCAATGAGAGAAAAAAGTAACCAAGACAGGTATATTCCTGTGAGACAGTATACTTTACAGAATGATTGAAATGTGAAATCAAGGACACAGATGTAAATTTGGACAGTCATTTACAGTGTGACCCTGGATATGCTACCTCAAAAAAAAAATAGTATTTATCTCATGAAGTCACTGTGAGAATGATAGTGGTTGTCCCCAAGAAATTTTTTCAAAAATCATGTTTTATTTTTGTCTTTACAGAGATTTACTCTTGAAAAAATGGAGTGGCCCAATCACTATGCATGTGAGAAATTATTGGTACTTTTGACCCACTATGACATGAAAGAAAGAAAATTTGGTAGAAGGAACTCTAATCAACTACAGCCAATTCGGTAATAAAACTTTAAGAATTGTATGATGAAAACTTTGCTTCAATTTGAATATTTCTCAGTACCTCTAATAGTAGGATATATGTGTCTTCATGAAGAAAGGCATTCTGGAATATTAAAAGTGTATACAGGGTTTACATTCAAGACAACATAGTAAGTTCATCCTTTGACATACTTTCCTACTTTTATCACATAGTAATAATACATTGGAAAAAATATCAAAAGAGATAGCCAGGCTTAACAAGATAACCATTTCAGTGGACCAGAAAAAGAGTAGAAGTATAAGGTGGATAGGAAACTGGAACTGGGAATTCCCTAGATCTGGAGCGGCAATGTCATGTGTCGTGTGGGGGCTGAGTTCATATGGAGCAAAAAATAAGGGATGCCAAAAGTGCAAGCTACTGATGGAGTCAGACTTGCTTATTAAAACTAGTGGCCAGGCTGGAGTTCCTCTGTTCCTGTCATATTAGAGCCTGGAGTAGGTGACTAAAACAACACAGCTGGAAAATATTCAACAAGAACTGGAGAAGTAGGTATGGGACAGAGATAAAAGATAAAGGAGTAGAAGGAAAAAATGTGATATATGAAGAAATATAATAGTTTTTAAAAGCTAATAATTGTATCTTGAGTTTCCACCATATTAAACTAGTTTATAAAACACTCAACAGTCTGAAGGTTGTTTTTGTTGTTATTGTTGGTGGTTTTTTTGACTTTTTAAAATACTAGAAAGCTCAGTGAAATGAAGATATATCCATAAGAAAAAGAAGGTGAAATTATAAAACTAAAGTGGATAGAAACTATTTTAAATGAATGGATATAAAAATGAACTTATAAATCTCAGAAAATATAAAAAACTTAAAAATATTTTTCAAATAAAAAATGATAGGACTTCAGGCTGAATTTGTTCAGGAAAAATTAGGGAACTGGAAGACAGTACTAATCACAAATCATAGAAAGCAACTTAAAGACTCAGATAAAAGTTACTTCAAAGTTTTAACTTAGGGAATAATATGAAAGTTTCCAATATTTCTAGGGGCTAACAGAAAGAAAGGTGGAAAAGTAATTTCTGAAGTGATGACATTTGAGAGTTTTCTAAAACTTAAGGCAAACAGCAGTTTTCAGATCAAATTACACTCCACGTATAAGCACAGTAAATAAATCCAGCCTATTTTAGATATCAAGCATAAAAGGAAAATCTTGTAAAGTACCAATCCACTTAAGTAAAAATTGTTGGTGAGTGTTAAAGCCATGAATGAAAGATTGCTGGAGAAAAAAGCGGGGAATGATTTCACGTATCACATCACAGGTTAATTTACCAAGTGCACATCAGCTTACTTAAATACATAATGACCAATAATAAGTGAAAAGACTGACATCATGTCCCTCCTACTGCAGTAAACTAAAGAAAGGCACCATATAATCTCAATATTGTAAAAACTTTAATCTGAGTCTAATCAGGAGAAAATATTTAAATAGTTCCAAAGTGAGGAATATTTTTCAGATCTGCCATTCTGAACTCTTCAGAAACATACATTTCATCAAACAAAAAGCTAGAAAATTTTTCTGGATTAATAGAGCCCAAGGAGGCATGACAAATTAAGCAAAATATTGTGATTTTCAGTTTCCCTGAAGCCATAAAAGACATTTTTAAGTATAATTGTGGAAATTTTAATACACAGTGTATATTGGATAATAGTGTTGATGTGAATTTCCTGAGTATGAGGGACATATTGTTGCTGTGGAGGAGAAGCCTGTACCTAAATAACCTGCAGCATTTGGGAACATGTCACAAGGCATGTTTGCAGGTTTTAAATGGAGAAGTAGATACAGCAAATGTTAACCACTGGGAAGTCTCCCTGGAGGGGTGTTGAATATTCATTGTACTTCTCTAAGGGTGTAAAATTTTTCAAACTAAAGAATTTGTAGAGTAATTATCAGAGAAAAAAGATAAATATAAAGAAATGACAACCTGATAGCACACATCTTTCATAACAGTAATATATTTCTTTGTTTTTTGTTTTTGTTTTCGTTTTTTTGGTTTTCTTCCGGTACTGGGAATCAAACTGATGACCTTGCGCTTGCCTAGCAGGTGCTGTGCCACTGAGCTAAATCCCCAGCCCTTTTTTTTTTTGTTTCTGTTTTTGTACTGGGAATCGAACTTAGGACCTTGTGCTTGCCAGGCAGGCACTTGTGCTGCTAAGCTATAACCCCAGCCCCCTAACAGTAATATAGTCCAGAAAATGATGAAGTAATGTTTCAAAGTACTGAGTAGAAATAATTAGCAACCTAGATATCATAAAAATGTTTTTCACAGAAAAGGCATTTTTCAGACTAAGAAATTTTACCCCTGTAGGCCTTCATTATAAGCATTTTTAAACTGGGGATGGTGACACAAACCTCTAATCCCAGCACTTTGGGAAACTGAGTCAGGAGAATGGCAAATTCAAGTACTGCCTGGACAATTTAGCAACAATGTCTCAAAATAGAAAATAAAGATGTAACTCAGTGCAAAGACCCTGGGTTGAATGCCCAGTAAAACACATACACTCTTCAAGGATATACTTGAAAGGATAAGAAAAATAAAACTTAGGGGGAAGATTAAAAGAAACAGTCAGTACATATATTAGTCACCGTTCCATTGCTGGGAAAAATTACAAAGGAGAGATTTACTTTGGCTCATGGTTTCAGAGCATTCAGTTCATGGTTAAATCCAAGACCAAAAACAACATGGTGGAGGAAACTTGTTCAACTAGTGGCAGCTAAGAAGCAGGGAGAAAAGGGTAGAGCCAGGGAGAGATATCCTGCAGAGACATGCCCCCAGCTAAATACCTCCTACAATTTTGCCCCACCTCCTTACAGCACATTTAGCTATGAACTTACCAACAGATTAATCCACTGGTGAGTATAGAGTTCCCTGATCCAATTACCCTCCAAAAACCTTACCTCTAAGTACATGAGATTCAGGGGAATTCTAGACAGTAATGGCACAGAAATTGATACATTTGGCTAACATAATAAAAAAAAATTATACAAATATAACTACACTTCTTAGTATTCATTTAGAGATTTACTACAAGTATATTTAAACTAATGTATGTTTAAATGCATTCTTTGAGAGTTTTGGCATATTATCACTATTTATTAGCTTTTAGAGAACCACTAGAAATACAACCTCTATTACCCAGACTAGCATATTTAATATAGTTAAACTATCAAGAGAGTACAGGTAGGAAGA